GAGTCAATTTGATAATTGGCTAGTCACAATGAGATGCAAAAAGTCCACATATTTCCTATGCAACTTCACTTGGCCTCATCGTAGACGCACATTTATTTTTGTTCGATTGAAAGCACTATTCAAGTCATCGCTATTGATCATGACTGATACTCAAATTTGCACAAGAATAGCGACAATTAAATACACAAGAGGTGGCAAATGTTTTTTTTTAAAAAGGGTCCAAAAATGATTTGCAATTAACACAAGGAGCCACAAGCTCAAATATCCACAAAATAGTGCCAAATCACAATTTATAGCACAAAACTCAATATATAGACAAAAGTAATATTCACAAGAAGTAGGTATGGAAATACCTCACCCCACCACAAACAAAGAGCAATTTGTCCTCAAATGCAATAAAGTACTAAAACATCAATAGAAATGACATAGATAGAGGTAAAGAGAAGTCCTGTCTACGCAGTCGCTCCATCTGTTGGGGAATCAGTGCCCTATGTCACATCAGCCGCACTCGATCCACTAGGGACTACCATGGATGTCTCTGTCAGTGATGTCTAAATCACCGACTGTACAATCGTCTCCTCCATATCTAGAAGGTCTGTATAGATGATCTCCTCTTGCACCTCAATCTGCTCATCGTTGGTCTTTGCCTCTGACTCATCGGCTACTCTGGTGGTGACCGGAGGAATCTCAGAACTGGCTGGAGAATCCACATCATCTGCTGCCTCCAATAATGAAGTGAAGTCAGTGGACTTCAAGTAGTCCACGTCCTTCCTCAGATCTATAACCTCAACTTTCAAAGCCATAACCTTAGATGACTTCCCATGTCGATGCTCACAAGTCGCGACTCTCGCCGTCAAATAATCAATAGAAGTTCGGAGGGGTGTTAATACAGTAAGAATAACACTCTTAATCATCCATGGTACCACAACCTCCAATCGAGTCACCTTCACATCTGATGAATGGGCTAAGTGCCCAATCTTCAGGATCATAGCTTGAGTAATCTTGGTAGGCTGGGAAGGGGCAGAAGTACCAGGAGCCTGAGAGGAAGAAGTGGGAGTAGATGTACCTGAAGGCCCGGAGTAGGAGAAGGTCCCTCTGCAGGTGTAAAATCAACGTTCACCTACGGAGATGTATCCACCGAAGATGCTTTCCTCCTGTCTGCCTCCTCCCATGTGTACTCGACCTCTATACGCCTAATATCTATGGAGGATGTGGGAGTGACCTCAATATATCTCGTCTCATCATGAGAAACTCTAGCACGCCAGTACTACTCTGTGATCAAGATCGAGAAAGGTAGGGATGTCTGGTGCTGTTTGGCCCTCGTGGCCATCTCCTGCTCAATAATATGTACCATGTAAATGCTCTTCCTAGCTATGATCGAACCGAGGCAGGACTCTTTAGGATGGCGGATGATGGACTTGTTCTGTGATGGCATATCGTGCAACTACATTCATATCTTTCTTCTCGATCGAAACTCTAGACTTAATCCACCTCGGGGTGGTGTCACAGATGAGGGGACCTAGCCAGCCCTTGAGCTCACCCAAGGGTGTCATAGTGGTAGCCAAATTTGGGTAGTCAAAGACTGACCCTCTATCAAATACCTCGTTGATGTGATCACGGCTACAGTGCACTACTGTCCCCCGTACCATGATGGACCCCACCCGTCTGAAAGTACTGGCCTTCTTCTTTCCTTTATGGACCAGGTCACCATATGCTGAGTAAAACTCTCAGGCCTATGTAGGGATGTATGGGCCTCGGGGTCTGGTAAACTGCTCAAAGCGATGGTACTGGAGTGTCTCCCTCACCCTGGAGTATTTCCCATCTAGGTCCTTTGTAGAAAGCAACTTCTCCTCAAGAATAGTCCGCAACCCATCAACTTATAATATATTGAGTAGTTTGGGAGGAGGAATCTGTACTGGTGGCACTGGGCCATAGGTGGGGCCAGAGCCTGCACTGTGTCTACAGCAGGAGACGTGGATGTTGGAGCCCACGATGAGTTTGGCTGAGACCTTGCATGAATCTCCGCCCGTCGAGACAGTAGTGGCTGGTTATCCTTCTGCTCAGATAATGTAGCTTGGGAGTCAAATGACTCTCCCTCACTGCCGAAGTTGTGCTCCGAAACCTCAGATGTTGACTTCTTTCCTTTGCCCTTGCCTCCCTTAAGAGGTGTCGTCTTTCCTTTTTTAGAGGGATTGGTTGCCCCTTCATTAAGCACTATGCCCAGTGCTCTTTTACGGGGTGGCATGTCGAGGTTGGTTCTAGCCATATTTGCAAAAACATCATAGAAAGAGTTAGATTCATTTCAAGAAAAGTTACAGAAAAACAGTTGCAAACAATCTCGCCGGATCGATCGGCGAGCCGCCAAATCACTTTGGCGAGCCAGATTAGGCTCGCCGAAATGATTGGCACAAAATTTCTTAGAAAAATTTCCATGTCGGTGATGGGAGGGGCATTTCAGCGAATTACAGACAACATTCGACAAGCAAAGACAAGTTCGTCGAAAGTTGCAGTGCCTTTTAGGGGTTAGGGGCACAGAAAGGGTGATTAAAGAAGACTTTCGGTGAGTCGCCAAGTGCACTCGGCAAACTCAGGCTTTCTGCTGAACCAAAACTCAAGATTAGCATTAAATTAAAGGCGATCAAGGGGAATTCGGCGAACCATGAAGTGGTTCGGCGAGCTCAACCCAGCTCGCCAAACAGCCCAACGTGCCTACTTTCTACCCCAAATTCCAAAATCAACCCCGCTACCCCCAATAATAAAATCAAAACATGCACTCATTCAATTAGACTTAGACCCATACTACCCATGCCATTTGATGAGTTTCGCCCTTAGGAATGATGTCAACTGCTCCATAATCGGGAAAAATACGTCATTTAGCACAATTAAAAGTTACGCAGACCTTACCCGACTAGACCCAAAAAATTAAGCACAACCCAACAAATTAGACCAATTTTAATGCACAAAAATTTGGGAAATCAACAATTAATCATTTTATGCAAGATATTCAACTCTAATTCGGCAAAAAAGAACACATTTACCATTTAGAGAGGCCCAACACACATCACTAAGATCAAACAATTGCAAATGAGTAAAAATTGCTAAATATGAGTTCGATCTTTGGAAAAACCAACCTTTAATACCGAATAAATAAGTTGAAAATCTAGGCGGCAACGATATCCAACTCTAAAAACACAATCTATGACTAAAGAACGGTAATAATGCAAAAATATTGAAAAATATAGTACAAGTGTGAGTTTGGGAAGTTAAAAAGTGAGGGAATATGAAAGAGTTTGAAAGTTCAAACATTTGGCTTTTAAAGTTGTCTAGTTCTTGCCCATGCAACGACATTGGTTTTTCTCGCCGAACCACTCGATGACACAGCTAGTGGTAACTTCCCTCACTGAGTTTTACATAACCTCCAGTTAATGTGGGGGTCCAAATGGCAGACAAAGTCGTGATCGCTGACCCAATCAGCGACATGCCAATTTGCTCCTAGGCTTGCCGAGTTTTACAAACCACAACCTTAGAATCTCTTGGGTCCAACGACGGTCTAGGTCGGATTCGCCGACCTCTTTGGCGAGTCGCCGACGTGACTTTTGGCTCACCAACCTGTACTTTTCAAACACATTTTACACTTCAACCTGCAAAATTGACACATAATTATTTCAAAAACGAAAAGAAAGCAAATAAAAACTTGGGTTGCCTCCCAACAAGTGCCTTAGTTAATGTCGTGGCAAGACGCAAGTCCTCACTCAAACCTCATTCTTGGGGTTGGCCATAGTGTCACTAGGCAACCTCCCTTGTTATCTCGGGTTTAAATGAGACAAAATTTGACCCATCAGGGTCCCCAACTGTTTGATAGATACAGAGTGAGAGGTAATTGTCTGGCAAAGGGTCAACACATCTTCCTTCATCTCTTTCAAGGTTTTGTCGGATCCATCAACTTTGTTGAGGATATGCGAGAGCATATCTTGGGAATGACCACCCTCAAAATCCTTTTGCTTTTGACACTCGTGGGGAGGAATGTACTTGTCCTTCTCCCCATCCCATTCCTTCCAAGTAGGGTTACGATCCCTCCACTCTCTATCACAATCTTTCCAGCCTTCATCCCTACTCCAACCTTGGTTACCACCCTGCCTCAAATAGTTCTAACGATAACCACCTCCTTGGTAGGCTATGGAATTCACCTCTTTGTTGTACAACGCTTCAAACTTGGCCTCATCGGGATTAACACACTCGACACCCACATTATTGACAGTTCTACTACCTGCTCCTATGATATTTTTGGACAAAATGTCAAGTTGCGGCATGATCTTTGCCATGTTTTGGTCCCTCTCTTGGTATTTCTCAAGCTGCTCATTGGTCAATTTAAATGTGAGAGGGGAGATCTGATCCTCACGGGTGTACAAGCCCGATTAATTGTGGTCATACCATCAAAAGCTGGGATGCAATAACATAAGGTTGTTTCATCAAACCTCCCGAAGAAAGTTGGTCAGCTACACCCTTGTTCACTGAAACAAGGCTTCGGTAATAATATTGCTGCAAAATGTTGTTGGGCAAACCATGAGTTGGGGATTGCAGCTCAAACTTCTTGAATTGTAGCCAAGTCTCATGAATTGGCTCTCACTCCAAGCACTTGAAGCTTTGGATGCTATCTCAAAGAGTCATCATCTTCGAAGGAGGGAAAAATCGCACTTGAAATGCAGTGACAAGCTCTTCACACGAAGTGATAGAATCCTGTGGCAATTCAGCCAGCCACTTACATGCTTCTCCCATCAAAGAAATTGGGAACAACCTCAACCAGACCAATTGTTGGGATATGTTCTTGAAGAAGAGCGACCCGTAAACATCAACAAAGTTTATAATATGCTCATGGGAATCGTCATGAGCCAGTCCACCGAACTACCCTTTCAATTGCAAGAGCTACAACATGGTACTTCTGATATGGAACACAACATTCCCTTCAGCCGGAGGCAAGTGAATGACACCAATTCCACCGATTAGATGAGGGTCATTAGTATTCGGCTCATCGACATCGTTGAGTTGCCGAATTCATCTTGGTGGCCCACTTGGCTACCATTGCTTCCGTTCACACTCATCTCCTCTGTTCAGAGCAGCAAAACACAAACCAAAAATAAAAGTAAGTAGATTATGACTAACAAGAACAAAATTCAACTTAACCAAAGAATCTTAAACAACACCATTCCCCGATAGCGGTGCCTTTTTTATTAACGTTTCAAGGACACTTCATCCAATTATAAGTGTCAACGATCGCTAGTTAGTATATAACCCAACTAAATGAGGTGGGGTCGAATCCCACTGGGAGTGGTACGTGTTTAAGATTCAGTAAGAAAGTACGAATATGATCAAGTCAGTCATAGGAATAGACATTGATGAATAAAAACATAATTCAAATCTGGGGTGACATGAATGTCAAATAAAAGGGGTTTTCGGTTTCAATTATCAGCGACAACAACAACAAACAATACGAAATTGACAATAATGAGATGGGTTCTTGGGATGTGACTCGATTATAGGCTAATCTAGAAGAATGGGTAATTGCAACTGTTAGGAAATAACTGAATATTAGTGAATAAGATAGACTATAGAGGAGGTAAACTTTCTCTCGAACAATTTACCCCGAATCAAGTCAATTTCTCTCGAACATCGACAAGCATGCAAAATAAGAACAGCCTACCCCTTAGTCCATTCAGTCTCTCGAGCTGAATGTGTGGAAAAGGGTTTAGGATTCACTCTCTCGAGCCGAACCCATAACAACCCAATACCCACAGACCTTCAATAAATAATCTTGGTTTAAAAACCTCTCTTCCGAACAAGCCGAAAACATAAATGTAGAACTGCATTTGCAACTACAATTCTTTAAATTAAACCACAATTACTGATTGAAATCACTTCTAAACAACACTTAGATTAACGATTAGCAATACCCATAAACTAAATCAGCCCATAGTCACATAATCACACCCCAAGAATTGGGGTTTTAGCTAGACATTATAAAAAGATAAAAATCGTTAACAAATTGAGTTTTCATCAACTGGGTAAGATTAATTTCATCCTTACAATGGTCAAAGTTAAAGAATCTCAAAGACCCACTTCCAATTTCTCAAAAGTGAAAAACTTCAACTCCTCAAAGCTAAGGGAAAAACATGTCTCAATACTCATAGTTCAAACTATTCAAAAATATGATACATACTAAAATGATAAAAACATCCTGAATTAAATGTTAAAAAATGTATTTATAGTCGCCAAAAATATGCTGTGAAGGATACTTAGATGCAGTAAGTCAGGCTCGGCGATCCTCCCTTTGGTCAATGTCCTCGCCTTTCTTCCTTGTCCTTCAGCTTCCTCAAGTTCTGTAACTTTGGGCGATCTAACACTGCATTACGGAACCACTCGGTGACTTACCGGCTGTTCATTTCTCTAGCCAATTTGGATTTCTTCTTCAAGGCTTGGCATACTGGAACTTTAGGTGGTCAAATAGGCATTTGGCGTCTTGCCAAAGGGACTTGGCGATCACCAGGCTTTCATTTCTTCATTCTTTCAGCTCGCTTTGTTCCTTTTTGCAAATTAGTGTCCATGCTTTGTTCCTCAATCCATATACCTGGAAATCAAGGGTTTTTTCATTAGTTATTGGCACAAAATAAGCATTCGAGGACACTAAATCATTGTAAATAAAGCCCTAAATGAGTCCAAATCTGTGACTCATCAGAGTTCTACAATCAACTGAGGCGTATCGGGGATTAAGCCAGTGCATTCCTAGAATGACATCAATATATATCATATCTAACTTAACTAACTCAGCTATGGTGTTTCGGTGATTGACGAAAATATAATGATAGACTCTTTCTCAACTATAATAGACTCACCAACATGTGTAGAGACACTGAAGGGATCAAGAAGTTTCTCAGGAAGAACATCAAAATTCATCACAACATACAGAGTCACAAAGATAGACTCACTCCTAGATCTAGCGAAGAATAAACATCAACATTAACGACTTTGATCATACCAGTGACAATATCTGGTGAATCCTCTTAATTTTGGCTACTAGTGATAGCATACAAGTTGTTTGATCTTTCGCTTGCCCCTGAAGTAGCTCCTCCAGGTGCAACTCTGTCTGGTGGAGCAACTGGAGAAGATTGGGCTGTATTGCCCCATTTGGGGAACTCTTTCATAAAGTAACCGTTCTTACCACACTTGAAACAACCAGTGGAACCATCAAGACACACCCCTGAGTGGGTCCTACAACACATAGCACATGCAGGAGTCCCATTACCTCCTTGTGCAATACTACGTTGAGATTGCTGAGGTCCAACTCTGAAATTTTGTGAATTCTGATTATTTAACTCACCTCTGTTCCTTGGTGCAGGTGCACTAGCAGATGATGGAGTAGGTCCCTTTTGCTTTTGTTGGAAAGATAACCGGTTCACATTACTCTTCTGCCGCCCACACTCATTCCAGATGTCTTAGCATTCTTGTTCCAAAACTCCTCTCTATCTCTCAGCTTATCTTCCTCAACCTGTTGCACATGGTTCGTCAACCTTGCTATGTCCATGTCCCCTATTAGCATAGCTGCCTTGCCCTCTTTACTTGACAAACGAGATAACCCAGAAACAAACAAACTCATGCTGCTCCTTATGTCAGCAACCATCTTCAGAGCATAATGGGAAAGTTAGGTGAACTTAAGGCTATACTCATGCACACTCGTAGTTTCCTGCTTAAGAGTAAGGAATTCTCGTACCTTTACTTCCATTAGTTCACGGGGAAGAAACACCCCATGAAATCACTTTCGAACACAGCCTAGCTCACAATCGGTGCACCTTCAGCCCTATTCTTTTTCCATTGATAAAACCAGATTCTAGTGACACCCTTCAGTTGGTATGCAACTAGTTCAACTATCTCAGCATCAGTGACATGCATAATCTTGAAAACCTTTTGAAGCTCCTCAATAAGGTTTTCCGGATCCTCAGTGACACTTGAACGAGTGAAGCTTGGAGGATTCATCCTTAAGAACTCACGGATCCTAGAAGTATCATCCACTTCCTAACGATTCTCTCTTTGTTGCCCAGCTTGGTTGGTCACAACTTGGCTCAACATCCGGATGGCCTCACGAAACTCAACATTGGTGACCTCTCCTTAGGGTTGCACTTCAGGTGCATTAGGTACCCTTTGTTCCTCAACATTCCTCCTAGCAGGACGACTTTAGACAGATCTTCGTGGAGGTATGATCTGAAAGACATGCGTAAGCACGAGTTAGAAAGAGACTTTTATAGAGATAGCCTTATCGTACAAAATGAGTATGAAAGAAAAGAGATAGTTCCTAAATGTTGCAGCCTCCTAATTATAGATGTGGCGCGCTTCACACCGATAACTAGGAATCTACAGAAACGGCTTCATAGACTCCCTAGGAATCTTAAACCTAACTCTGATACCAAGTTTTTTTACCCCCCAAGCCTACACCCTGAGCGGGACTGGCACTCGAGAACCATTGTTGTCCCCAAACGAACCCTTGGCCTGACTTACTACTCAACGGATGACTTTACTCAATAAAGATAACTTGATGAAATAAACTAGAATGTTATGAAATAAAATATTCAAGTGGCCAATTAGGCAACTCAAGTCTTATAATCAAAACAACTAAAATATCAAGACCAATGAACTAACAATAACTAACTATCTATAAAGCCTCTAATAACTGAGATGGACGTCAGGAAGAGACCCACGATATCCTAATAAACTAGAATAATAAAGTAACAAAAAGGGAATCCTCCGGAAGCAAGGAGGCTCACCAAATGACTCTGAAATTCTCAACTAGATTAAAGAAGCGATGGATGCTGATCCTGGTTACCTCTATCTGCATCATAAAATGATACAGGCCAAATGGTGTCACTACGTTGAATGTACGAGCATGCGATGGGAATTATAAAACAAGACATAACTTTGAAAAGGAACAGAAGAAACTTATCTCGTGTCAACTCAACTCAACTCTTTTTAATATAAAGCAGTATAAAGAAAAGCTTTGAAACATGAAGCTACCAACTCAGTGTATTAAAAACACACACAATAACTCAGTTTGTATATGAAAATACAAGTAACACTGTGTATATAAGAATACAAAATATCCATGTCGGAGTTTCTCTAATCGACAACAATCACTATGAGCTATGTAATGTTACAACATCTTGCCTCACGCTACCAGGGCCGTCCTATACCTTGCCGGGGGTATAGAACCTAACTACGAAGTGGATTCACTAGTCAATGCTAAAATCATTAAGGAATCATCTAAAAAGTATAACCCTTTTTCTACCTATGTTGGCTACACGATTTATGGAGACTTTTAATTATCTGAACTCAAGGTCGTCCCCACATATTTGCTCAATACTACTCCCAAAATGTAACTAGCTCATATGTTTAAAAACATAATTGTTTCTGTGGTTTGAGATTATTACTCAAAAACTAGCTAAAAAGCTCTCTTGGCAATTGGTGTTTCGTCTTTTGTTTAAATGTGAAAAACATTTACTCTTTGGGAGTAATTAGTTCCCATATAATCTTTTGAAGAAAAATAATGTCACTCTTACTCAGTCTTAAAACAAGTTTAAAATAATTGTAAATTTTTTTGAAATGACTCGAAGAACTTTCAAGACTTGACTCTTAACTCTACCTTGAATTTGAATTAAAAATTCATGGTTATGATTTTTTATAGGAAGGATATCGTGATGATTAAGAGTGTGGTTAGATAGTTAATCAGGAGAAACAATAAAAAAAGCACTGTCTGGGAGCAATACTGCGATGTGGAGATGAATTTAATATTTGGTCGCGAAATAATTTTTGAGACAGGGGGTCCGCGATCTCTCCGCAATGCGGAGAGGAAAAGTTTTACTCTTAAGTAACAGGTCCGTATTTTCTATCCCACTTTTTTCTTCATCAATTTCTAATCCTAATTTGCCAAGATTCGATTCTTTTTCTCAATTTCTCCTTAGATTCAAATACCCAACACACGTACACAAGAATCTACTCATAAACAACTCTAAAATCGACACAATTTCCTCAAGAACTCAACAATCCCATCCTAATTCAAGAACAAAAGTTAATTTCAAGAATACAATTCAAGATCATCAAACTTTCTAGAATGAATTTCATTAAAATAAACATGATTGACACGTGGGTGAACGAACCCAACACTATGAAAGTCTCACATACCTCTTTAGGGATCAAACCTTGGCAAAACGACTTCAATTCCGTAAGAAATCTCCAAGAATGCCTTGACTTTTCTCCTCTTTTCTCTTCTCTCAAAGCCCTAGCGAAATTTGTAATTGTGTAAACTGAACCAAATCAGTTTAGACCCCTAATTAATTACTAAAAAACGAATTTTACTAATTGGGTTGGGAAAAGACAAAAATAATCCTCTTAAATTCGGGTGACTTTCCTTAGCTGGAAAGTCCGACTTCAAACGGTCATATCTCCCTCATACAACCTCAGAAATTAGCAAACTCGGTTGCTTTGGAAAGATAATTAAAAGATGTTTCATTTCATATCTTTTAGCCCACCTAACTCATCTTGCACTAGAAGTTATGGTCATTTGAAGTTTACCCAAAACTCAAACTTAACATAAATTGCCAAATTTCAGATTTTTCATTATTTTGAAAAATAGTTCTTTCCAATTCTAGCTCTTTAATATAGTGGAGTGTTGCATTTGAGTCCATGAACATATTCAATATTCACGATCAAGCTTACAAGCCCTTGAATTTATATTAAATACATGAATTGGAGGATTCATACATATTGTAAAGCTCATATTTAAAATCAAATAAATACGATTGTTGTGATATATTTTAGTCTTGATCATTATTCTCTCAAAACAAATTTTGTTGTCTAAAAATTCCTGCAAGCCTAGTGGGAAAATCTATACCTCTCATATCAACTATTCAAAAATTATAGAACATCAAGATTACTTCTAAGAAGATCAACTCCTTATAAACTTCATCTAATGCTTCTAAGGTTATTTACTCTATGTTCTCTTCAAAGCAAAGGACTCATTAGTGTTACCTTTGGAATTTAAGATCTTTTACAAGGAGTAAGACCACTATGTTGGGACAACAAACACTTCAAGTATCGTCCACATGAATATCCTATTTTGGGTCGGAAATCCAAAAGGAGCAAGGGTCCTCTAGAAATTCTTCACAAGGAAGAAACAGTGTTGCCCAAAAGATCAAGAAAACTCTAGCTCCACTAAATCTCTCCAATTCCAAGAAATCTTTCGCAAATTAGACCTATAAATCAGCCAATTTATCCTTTACACATGCATCCCATGATATGTACCCTTTGAAGATCAACTTGCAAGATGATCTATTCTACTTCCTGATGTCCCAAACGATCAATAAAGCAATTGTAATTAATGATTCATCCGTAGAGGCACATATTCAAAAAGGGCGAAGATAGTTGAATGATTGACAAAGCACATACAAAACCAAGAGTCTTGGATTAATATTTTGATGGAAAGGATGAATGGATTATTATATGGAGAGTCCATCCATGGACCTTGAAAAGGTTTTAAAGTTTTAGATATTGAAAAACATGTGAAGCATATAGGACTTGTCAAAGTGATGTTATTTTCTTCTGAAGGGTTGATATCACTCGATCATTAAAAAGAGTTCATTTAAGGGACATCAAATATGTGTACAAAGTCTTCACCAAGTCTTCGCTTATGTATGCCAAGTAATACATTGCAAGAATTGATATTTTCAAGGTGCTTGCCAGTTATTGGGTCCTAGAATAGTCTAGGAAAGACATAGTTTAGGTATTAAATAGATAGGATAAGACTCAAGCAAACTTGAAAAATAACTGTCGAACACGTTCTACGAATTCACTATATGGTTTACAGAAACTTCTATTGATCATATTATTGTCTCTTAGAACAAAGTTATAGAGACCAACTTTAAGGACAATTTCCACAGAATCCTCCACAAACTGTCATACAATTTTTCACGACCCGAGCCTACACCTTGAACGTGGCCGACATTGAAGAACCATTGCTGGCCCTTAAGCGAACCCTCATCCTGGCTGACTAAAAGCGAAAGACTAACTCAAGCATACATAAGCATCAAATTGAAAGAAATGTTTGAAAACAATTTACTGAATCTCAAAACTTTGCTAAATATACTGAGTATGAAACATAAGTTTAAATAAAACATCTGAAAACTGAAAAACTCTTCATAGATGTCTATCTTTGAAGCCTCTTCTATTCAAAGATGAGTGTTCGAGTACTCCAGAAGCAAGAAGGTATTACTCAAAAGATGGTGAAATAATCTTAACTGACTCTTGTTGAGAATCCTAAGAACCTGTATCTACATCATTCAAAGATTCAGGTCAAATGACATCAGTACATTGAATGTACGAGTATGTGATATAGTTGAATAACAAATATCTGAAAGAAAGAACTGCAATAGATAACAATCTACTCAAGCTGAATGTAAAGAAATAAATGAGTTAAATTATTTGAAGCTTCACTAATTACTTTCTCATCTCTAAACTCAAAATAATAAGTGATATATAAAGATACACTTTAACTCTATTAGGAAATTCTCTAACTAACAACCATCACTATGAGCTACATGATGATACAACGTCTCGCCCACGCTGCCGGAATTGTCCTATACTTTGATGGGGTATAGAACACCTCAATTAAGTGGATCCACTAAGCTATGATTCAAAATCAATAAGGAATCATCTAAAACATATGATCCTTTACCCATGTTGGTATACATCGTTTATGAGGACATTGAGTTGTCAGAACCCGTCCCCTTATCTATGCTCAATACTACTCCCAATAATATATACTTATGCTCATTTGTTTAGAAAAATAACTCATCCTCTCATTTGAGATAATTGCTCAAATTACCCTCTTAAAAGAGGTAACTTCC